AGCAAAAGGCTGTCTATAAAAGGTAGGATCAAAAAGACGAGTCCCATTAGTGTGTGTAAGTTTAGCATTCATCTCAAGAGGTACAAAGGTAATCTTTTCCACTTAAACTTGCTCGAGAAATAAGCTCTAAAGCACATTTGGATTAAGACACACAATACTTATAGAGTAATGTTATTCATCTCCAGTGGGGTCACAAATACAGTTTAGGTGACTCTAAATGATAGGTTAAATGAAAAGTGAAATTAAATGACTTACTTAATTTCACCTATCATTTAATGTCACATTAACGCCACCTACACTGTGTTTGTAACCTCACTAGGGATGAATAACATTACTCAAACCTATAAGATGGAGTAGTGACTTCAAATCCCAAAAATAGCTAATCATCCCGAATCTTTTATTTCAAACTGGCGATTGATACGTTGTATAAGGTCATAGATTCCAGTAAGATCATCACCAACGATAAGTTTCATCCTACGAAGATTGATTATTTTTCCTATTTTAATTTAAACTAACTCTAACATAAGATGTACATATTTAAGATGATGCTTATAGTTTTGCTGTTACTAATTACTTATTGCTATAAGCGATTTAAAAGTGTGCGCAATATCCAATCAAGCAAAGTACTAGTACCACGAATTCATTGAGTAATCCAATTTCAATCCACAAATAATTGTTAATTGCCAATTCTTGCAAGGTTGAAAATCAATTATCAAATTTAATAAATAACATTTTTCAACCTCAATCGATCCTATAATTGTACATGAGTTTATTTATCTCTAACTAAATTATGGACATATAAGCACACTTAATTCACAAAGATTATCATTCACGATTTCATAGAACATAATCGCTCCTATTTGATGATTGTTATTATGTAAAAAAGATGTTTTGAATAATGATTTGTTGGATAATGTATGGTTAAAAAGTGAGAAAAAATTTTGAATTTGCGTGCAAAATATGATTGAAAATGAATATGAGAAATAAATTATTTTGTTTTAAAGGGAGTCAAACATGAGCTATATATTGTTTATTACCACGTACTAATTTATACCCAGCATTTTAAAAGCGATATAAATCACAAACTCATCTCAATGGTGACAAATTATCAAGACAAAATAATTGTAAACAATCAACCCAATAATAAGAATTAGAAATAACAAGTTCACAAGGTTTCATTGTCAATCCTGGCGATGAAGTGTTTAAAACGACATAACTGAAAGCCAAAAGTACAAAGGCCTTCATAAAAAAAATAGGAGACAATCGAAATCTTCATTTCAATCAACGTTTATCCATTTTTGTGGATCGAAATGGATGAAAAGGTCATCATCCAATTCCTCATGGCTACATGGACATAGATCCATTGCAGTAAATCTATCTTCATCTATCGATGTTTTGACTCTTTGATAACGTGTTGTTGTCACGGAATTTGTGCAAACGTGGACGAGAGACTTGGTTCCGCATCATCAATGGTACATCAATGGATAGTTCACCGGATTTTCTATGTTTGTTGTTTGTAAAATGGATTAGAGCGATTACTTTAATAAATCAAATTTACCAACCTTACCAAAATTGGACAAACAACGGCAAGGACTAGAATAATAAACACCACATAAATGGAAGTTAAAACGCCAATCAAATCGGACAAAGTAACACCAAGAAATGAATACAAAGTCGAGACAATAGTTAAACTCTTTGTCCTTAAGTCGATTTTGCCCCACAAAGGTGCCTACGGATGATGACAATCAACTCCCAAGATACAATGACTACCTTCTTATGTTTACAGCACTCCAAAATACAAGAACAACGAACCAAAATATTGCTTTTTTACTCATTTCGAATGATATGAAAAACTAATTTTTATACAGAATTTTGGTTAAGGAAATATGATTTTTATGTTATGATATGATTGCATATGATTAGGGTAGGTTAAAGGACGTCCAAATAATCTTATTTATAAGGAGGAGAGGTTGTGAGTGAAGAGATGTGTCCCAAAACTTAGAAGCCTTCGCTAAAGGTCGCAGCCTTTGTTGTCGCTCGTCTGTCTTCCTTGCACTGCTCGAGTGCCAAAAGTAGAGAGTCTACCACTTCCCAGTGCTGGGCTGTCGCTCGAGCGACAGATTTAGGTGCTGAAAATTCGATTTTTTTTTCCTCTAACTTTGGACTACAATTTTTCGTTCATGCATAATTGATTTTGAGATTTCGGATATATCACGATCATTTACTCGATGAGTAGATCAAGTTAGTCTATTTATTTTCATAATTTGACTTTCAAATCAAGTCCAAATATTTGGCCGAAATTGACATGAAAGTCATTTTTCACACTTTATGGTTTCATATTTAACTATTCTTTCTTCTCTTTTTAAACCAATTTCCAGCAATATCCAAAAGCATCCCTAGCAAGTTATGAGTTCTTGATGTCCACGCTCCAACTTGTTATCAATCAGTGCATTTGATTAAGAGTAATTATTGACAGGTAATCTGGATAATTCGGTATGAGAGATCATAGGCAATAATGTTGCAATTATCATTCATTTACGAGAGTAGATGTTTCTTTAACTATTATGTATATTCTGGTATACAAATGATACACGAAAATTAAACTGTATTTGTCCATTTTGTTCATCGATTTTTACAATCACGCTCTTTGTTACTAAAGTCATCGGTTTATTGAGTATTATTAAAATTCATTCAAATCATAACTCAATCTCCATCCAATCATGCTTGGCTGCCATAATTTTTTGACATTTTGGATGATAGAATTTCACACGACATTCTATTATTGAACTGTTTTAAAAAATAGTCAACGCTTTTATCCATTCATTTTTTTCTACAACTTAATCTGTCATCTAAGATATTGAAAATATATGGCAAAACAGCATTATTCATCCACGTCAATACCCTACAAGGTATGAAATTGGACTCTTTGTGGGCACCAGTATGATAGCTCTTTTGCCCTGACTTGCTAAGTAGGGATGACAAAAAAACTCATTTAACCCGATACCCGTGGGATCCCCCCCCGAATGGGGCGGGAATTACGCGCCTAACCTAGTAAATGAGGCGGGGATGTGATGAGATTCATTACCCCGAAGCGGGTATGGGACAGGTACGGGAAATATAATCCCCGCTCCGCTACCCACCCCTTTTAAAGTTAATTTCAAATTTAAGTTTTTTATCAAACAAAAATAATAGATTTATTATCATTTTTTAAGATAACATAAGTTGTTTTTAATAAATTGGTAAAAAAAAATAATATTTACTAACTAAAGATATAAAAAAGTTAAAAGTAAAAAATAAATGGGGCGATAAATGGGGCATAAAACTTGCCCCGCCCTGATCCAATCCTGCCCTGAACCCGCCCCGCCCCGCTTTAAGTGGGTATGGGATGGGGTAAGGTAACAAAAAAACTTGATGGGACAGGGGTGGGAATGGTCAACCCATCCCATATCCGTCCCGTTACCATCCCTACTGTTAAGGAACATATCGCGATTTACCTCCTCCACAATGCTTTAGAGAGGTGGGGGATCCTCAAAGTTGGGGTTCAACCTTTTTAATAATTCTTAAAGGAACTACATCTTTTATAGTTCTAGCCTTCTAGGTATCCCAACAAAATGAGTAGCTAGTGACCAAGAATGTACTTGCACATGTGAGATAGCATCTTTGTAATTTGAAATGTTGAATTAGGCTATTACAATCTTGATTATCTGTTTCCAGTCGGAGGGATAAAACTTTCCATTGCTGACGTGGCGAGAAAACCTCTATTATGATTATCTGAAAATAAAAATTTTCCACTTTCAGAAAATCATATATAAGGTTCTCTTATCGCATCGACAATTGAAAATTTTTATCCTAGTGTAGGAAATCAATTCTACAGACAAGTATGCTATTATTGTCAGCCTCTGTATGGAAGTGACAACAATTAGAGCATAAAGTGTACATATACATATGCAGTTGGCTGTATTTATGCATGAAAATTTAGTGAGAACCATGAATCTTTGTCAGCGTGTTTTGTTTCTTTGCATCGTTTTTCTTGGGCCCAACTGTTGTATCAAACTAAAAGCATCTGTGGTTAGGTCAAGAACAACCCCTGTCCAAGGCCTACCCTACACTTTCTGCCTTATCCCATTCACTGCATTAAAAGGTGTAAACCGAATCGAGTGAGTCAAATTGCACATTTTTTTTGTATTTTGATTAAATTTTTTATTATAAACGAAAAATAAAATCTGTCATATTCATGTGTACTGGTTAATCATCAACATCAATTTAACTTTCGAGGTATTTGGAAGTCCTCAATTTTTTTTAGAAAGAATCGATAAGGAATTTCATTAATAACGATACTTTTTGATTTCGAATTAATTGCCTCATTTAAGATTTTTTTAAAAAATCTAATTTAACCTAAAGTACGATATGAAGAAAGATAGTATAATGATTTAAAAAATGCCCATGTTGGCGAAATGATTCTAAAGATCCAAGACCAAGAAGTCCACCTTCCCACACGGATCATGCCTAAATCGTACTAATTGAAAAGCAACAAGTCGCTTTGAACTTATAAGAGTACGACTCACATCTACACCCCTAACACAAATACGGTAAAGAGGTTTAACTTTTGTTTGGTGCAACTTAAAATCTTGTTAAAAATATAATTTAAAATTAACAATTAATTTTAATCATATTTTATGAAACTCGTAATTTTTTAACCACATACTTCATCAATTTTTATGAAAATCTACTAAAAAATGAGCTTATTAAAGTGTGACTCCATATAAATACCCTAGGAAGGTGACGAGAGAGAGGGGTAGGTGGGTTGGGGGGGTGGGGGAGAAAGAGTCAATAAATAAAAGCTGAAAGAAGGCTGATTATACAGCCAAAAGAAAGAGCAAGCCTTTTTCATTATTTTTCACCCACCATCATTGTATCTGTATATTCTGTTGTCCCCTCAACTCTCCAACCTCAATTTCTCCATTAAATTATCAATTCCAAGTTTCTGCAATATCTCTACAATGTCAAGCAACAATCCTTGTTCAGAAGATGGAAGCAGCAGTAAACGAAAGCGTCGACCAGCAGGAACTCCAGGTACATAAATAGAGTGTTCTTTGCTTGTTTTCGTTTCTTGTTTCGTATTAATTCATTAAAGTTATTGTATATATTGTGTATTAGATCCAGAAGCAGAAGTTGTATATCTATCGCCCAAAACCTTGTTAGAATCGGATCAATACATTTGTGAGATATGCAATCAAGGGTTTCAAAGGGATCAAAACTTGCAGATGCACAGAAGAAGACACAAAGTGCCATGGAAATTGCTCAAAAGAAAGACACCAATGGTGAAGAAGCGTGTTTTCGTGTGCCCAGAACCCAGTTGCCTGCACCATGATCCATGCCACGCTTTAGGTGATCTCGTGGGAATCAAGAAACACTTTAGAAGAAAACACTCCAATCATAAACAGTGGGTTTGCGAGAAATGTTCAAAAGGGTATGCAGTTCAGTCAGATTTTAAGGCTCATCTCAAAATCTGTGGAACTAGAGGCCATTCTTGTGATTGTGGCCGTGTCTTCTCCAGGTGCCTAACTTTTCTTATTCCCCTAATCTCTCGTAGATTTCATTTTAAGGATGAAAAGTTTTGTCACTGGTTGATTTTGAAGATTTTTCTGCGTTCAGTGCTGAATGTTAGCTCCATTTGGTAATTGCTGAGATTAACGTATATTCTCTTGCACATATTCTATATTCAGTTAATCAATAAAAAAAGTCCAGGAAATATGCAGGTGATAATAAGCCAGGTTTTGATTGATGCGATGTCAGAACCATACTTTACTTGGTGTACCATACATCACGTTTCCCAATGATCAACCAATGGGCCATTGTTTTAAATTCTTTAAGAATGCCCATGTCCACACACTATGTAGTGCATGTGATTGATCTTTTTTCTTTTCCTTAATTATCGAGTAGATTTGTTCGATTTCATTTGCTTGTTTACATACAATAACCCAAATTCTTTAAGTCCAAGTACATCCAACAAATCAAACATTCTTGAAAGATTCCACATGTACACGAAATATTTTGGCATTCTATAATTGGATTTTGCACCAAAAAAAAATAAAATCATGGCAGCCAAAAAGGTGATGATTTTTTCCCGTACACAGGAATTGATTTAGGATCAGATTATAAGTCGAGCTAATACGTAAAAAAATATAAAATTACACATGAATTTATTTATTTTTTACATAATTTTTTTTTGTCTACCTAAAAAAATTAAGTGGGCTGGGACCAACCCAGTCCCCCCCACATCCGTCCGTCTGTACATGTAGTGTAATTGAACATTCTCTTCTTTGAATTAGCGTAATCTTTTTTGTTCAATTGTAAGTATTCCAAGTCATAATAGGTAGATTTATTTTGAAGAAGACTATTTATTTGAATTTTACCCCTATATGCTCCGGGGTGGGTAGACGAGGTGTGGCGCATAGTTCCCCTTCAGTGAGTTTTCTTGGAGGAGTATTTTCTGTCCCACTATTGGCCTTAATGAGCTAAGGGTCTAATGGCATATATCCTTTCTATATAAGTGTGTAAGTTAGATACAAAATTATCTATTTTTGAAACAGAAATGAAAGTAGTAGATCTTTTAAGCTAATGGAGTTTTAATGCTTAGTGCTGACCTGCCTAGGTAACTCTATCCGCGAAAGCTTTGCACCAATTACAAAATTCATAGGAAGAATTATTGGGGATTTGGTTCTTATATATATAGTCAACATACTGATAATGAGATTTCTTTTTCTTCTTGTCTATAGTACCCATCTTCATCAACAAAATCACTGGGGTTACTTATGAATTAATGTCCTGCGATTTTTATTTTTAGGGTGGAGAGTTTCATTGAACACCAAGATGCTTGCAGTGTTATGGGGCGACTCTTATCAGAATCCCACACTTTGCAGCCTACAGCCTGCTTGTCCCAGAGGCCATCAAGTTCCAACCCTTCCACCGTCACCAATTTTTTAAGCAATGTGGGAGGTAAGAATTCGTGGCCGGCCCTAAATCTAGACCTCCAGCTATCAGCAAAATCAAGTGTTTCGAATTTGACGAAAGTGGCAGATCAAGACCACTCTACTCAAATGCAATTCTCCATTGGCTCATCAGAAATCAGTGAGCAAAATGAAATGGATAGCAGACTAGATGAACAGTTAGTAATGGCCATGACTGAAAATGCTTACGCCCAAGAGGCGAGGCAACTGGCGAAGAGGCAGATTGAAATGGCGGAGAAGGAATTTGCTAATGCTAAGCGAATAAGGCATCAAGCACGGGCGGAGTTAGAGAAAGCTCAGGCCCTAAAACAGCATGCAGTAATGCAAATAAATGCCATCGCCTTGGAAATCACTTGCCATTCTTGCAGGCACAAGTTGCAAAATGAAAGGGGATTGACAGAAACTTGTTTTACTCAATGTTAAATTTTCTCTATTGTCGTCATATGAATGTAATGTAGAGCTTCACTTGAACATGAGGGTGTCCCCTAAGTGCTTGGGGTGGATTATCGGCGTGATCATAGGTGATAAAGGGTTTGATTGGGCCTCTCTATCATCAAAATGTTGATCCGATCTGCTTATTTTGTGTTTCCAGCTTTTGTAAACAAATGAGCATGAAGAAGCCTAGTGGGTGTAATGATAAGACTGAGATGTACTAGTGAATGAATAGTTTAGAAAATTATCTAGTTTTTTTCATTTGACTTGTGTCGACCATAATGTGTTTACTTCAGCAAGAATTTTAGATCCTATATTGCAAGTCGTAGCAATCATATAAAATGAGGTCTTTTTTTTTTTTTTGATCTTCTCTCCTAGTTTGCTTGATATTTAAGATACCAATTATGGTTGTTCATATGCAACTTTTGATTCAATGGAAATAATCTTTCCAAATATTTACAGAATTTGTACAGGATGCTG